AACAACGCGCGCTGCTCAAGAAGCTGTCGTCATCCACTTCGTCCACCACCAGCGTTGTTTGAATTGTGCGCGGCATTCCCCCCACCCCAAAGAACAAAACTTGTTGTTCCTTTTTTTTTTTCTTGGTTCTCAGAGAACCTGATTTCAGTTTCATCCTTGCAACCCGTTATTTGTGTGGAAGATTTGGCGAATTGTCCTCTTGCCACACGTGCTTCCTGAGAAAAATTATCCTTGTGCGACAAAATGAGAGAAACGTGCCTTTTTCCCCTTCCACTCCACACACACACGCGAGAGCACAACCTTCCAAGATGGTGAGCTTTGCTGGCACACGCGATGGTGGTGGTCGATGACTTGTGCTTGTGTGTTTGAGCGTATGTCTGTGTCTGTGTCTGTGTCTGTGTCTGCGTCTGTGTCTGTGCAGAGCTTCTTTTGATGCTGAAGTGACAAGGGCACCACAGTGGTGAAGATCACTTGGTGTGGTGCGTGTGTGTGTGCGCTTGTGTGGTTAGTTGGTGTCCACTTGGCCCTCACTGATCACGCACGTACCACACCAGCCCATTTGCTGCCTCACGCACTGTGTCCACCATTCCAATCCCTCACTCACTCACTCACTCACTCACTCACTCACTCGCTCGCTCGCTCAATCACCATGTGTAGGCCACGGCTCGCCGCCAAGTCACCGTTTACGGCACCTCCAAGGGCGCCAGCGTTGGTCAGGTCGCCCTGCCCGCTGTGTTCACTGCCCCCATCCGCACGGATGTTGTGCACTTTGTTCACACCAACATGGCCAAGAACAGGTGCGTTCTTTCGCATTCACGTGTGTAGGGAGGGTGTGTTCCTGCGTTTGGTGGACATGTGCTTTCATGCGCTCATCGTCAGTGGTGAACGCTTCATCTCATAATCCCACATGTCACTATTTGTTTGTTGTTTGGTTTCACTGCTCCACGTACGCACGTGCCTGTGCCTGCTCCCATGCTTCTCCCCTGCCATTCACGTTCAAACTACACTCAATCTCACTCACACGTGTGCGTGCACACATTTGTTCCCCAACACACACACACACTCTCTCTCTCCCCCCTCCCTCTTTTTCTCTCTCTTTCTTTGACTCTCTCTATCATCACCTCAGCCGCCAGCCTTACGCCGTGAGCGAGCGCGCTGGTCACCAGCACTCTGCTGCCTCCTGGGGTACCGGCCGCGCCGTGTCCCGTATCCCCCGTGTTGCCGGCAGCGGTACCAGCCGTAGCGGCCAGGGTGCCTTCGGTAACATGTGCCGCAAGGGTCGCATGTTCGCCCCCACCAAGATCTGGCGCCACTGGCACCGCCGCATCAACAAGAACCAGCGCCGCTTCGCCACCGCGTCTGCGCTCGCCGCCTCCGCCCTCCCTTCCCTCGTCGAGGCCCGCGGCCACTCCATTGCCAAGCTGCAGCAGGTGCCCCTCGTCGTCTCCAACGAGGTTGAGAGCATGAAGACCACCAAGGCCGCCGTCGCCCTCCTCAAGACCCTCGGCGCCTACAACGACGTGGACCGCTGCAAGAACAGCCGCAGCCTCCGCTCCGGCAAGGGCAAGTGGAGGAACCGCCGCCACACCATGCGCCGCGGCCCCCTCGTCTGCTACAAGAAGAACAACGGCATTGTGCGCGCCTTCCGCAACCTCCCTGGTGTGGAGCTGTGCCCCGTTGAGTCCCTCAGCGTGCTCAAGCTCGCCCCCGGTGGCCACGTTGGCCGCTTCATCATCTGGACCGAGGGCGCCTTCAACCACCTCAACAAGCTCTTCGGCACCGGCAACAAGCCCGCAGACATGTCCCTCAAGAAGCGCACCAACGGCGCCCCTTACTACATGCCTCGCACCAAGATGACCAACGCCGACCTCTCCCGCATCATCAACTCGGATGAGATCCAGAGCGTCATCCGCGCCAAGCGCAAGGCTCCTCGCCGCCGCACCGTCAAGAAGAACCCGCTGACGGTTCGTTGACAAAACGCTGCTCGTTTGTTTGTTTTTGTGTGTTGTCCAAACAACTCGTCGATGGGTGCACGCTTTGCTTGGATGCATGCGTGTGTTGATCTTGATGCCTCCCGTCGCTTGTTTGTGCATGGTGGTGGCGCCCCGCACCACTTGGCCTTGTCGAGCACACTTTGACCTCAGCTTTGACCACATTCCTACCACGCCTCACGCACACACAAACTCTCACGCTCACTCGCTTGCTCCCATTTCTTTTGCCTTGACAGAACCTGCAAGCTCTGCTGAAGCTCAACCCGTACGTCAAGACGAAGCGCCGCAACGCCTACCTCAAGAACGAGCGCCGTCGCAAGAACAACCTGTCCATCCGCAAGGCTCGCGCTGCCAAGAAGGCTGCCACCGCCTAAGCTTGCTCGCTTGCGCCTGCTGGCCCTGGCTGGGTTGTCGTGTTGGTTGGTCGCGCCTCGTGTGCCCACCGTTTTGCTCCTGTGCGTTCACGGCCCCATTCCCCTCTTTCTTTGCTCTTCCCTGTCTGTGAATCAAGCGCACATCAGTAAACTTCCTTTCAGACAGGCACTCCCCCTTGCTCTGCTCCTGTATACACTTGCCTCAATGAATCCCTGAAGCGTCGATGATGGTTATGGTTGTCAATGAAGGTGAAGCGAAAGAGAGGTGTGATGAGGACGATCGCGGCGTTGATGGCACAAGCACAGTGGTAGAGTGGTGTGTGTTTGCGTCGGGCAGCAGCTTTTGTTGTTTATTGTTTCGTGGGTGCTTCACGTAAAGAGAAGACACGGGGGAGCTAGCGAGAGAAACCATGCGCCCTTTTGGCGCTGCACTTGTCTGCCATGGAGCAAGGTGTGGCGAACATGCCAGAGGGACAGAAGAGGGCGAGTTTGCTCGGAGAAGTGCACGGCACGGCGCAGACAGAGAAGGAGCAGAGATACGAGATGAAAGTGAATACATACAACATAACATGCGCACACAAGCTCTTGTGCCATATTCAGCAGCGTGCACACGCGCAGCAAAGATAAGGCAATAACACATGTACTACTCACAAAGCACACGCACATGCACAAAGCAAAACACACACACATAGCAAACACAGCAAACACACACAGACAGCACACACACACACACACACAAAGCAAACACAACACACACACACACACACACACACACACACACACACACACACACACACACACACACACACAAAAAAAAAAAACACAGGAAGGGCGTCCTACGCGGAGCGCACGCTGACGACGACGACGTTGTCGCCCAAATCCACCTTCCATGTGTAGTGGGGCAGCCCCGCGTACATGGCAGCCTGCTCCATTTCATCCAACTCCTTCTCCAGGCGCGTGCGCGTGCGCTCGCTGGGATCCCGAAGCGGCAGCTCCGCCTCCTGACCAGACGCAAACCCAACGGACACAAGCTCTGTTGCGTCGTCACGAGGGCTGATGGATGTGATGGCGCGCATCAGCCGCTGCCTCTCAACACTGCCAATGGACAAAGAAAACGCGCTGGGACCAGACGAAGAGCCGCCATCACGGCCACCGCCGCCGAAACCGCCTGCTGCCGCTGCTGCTGTTGTCGAAGACATTGCGCCAGTGTCAAGAACACCCTGGCTCTTGGCGCGCTTGAGCTGCTTCTTCGGCTTCTTCTTTGTCTTCTTCGTCTCCTTCGCCGCTGGGGGAGTGGCTGCCGCTGCACTTGGCGTGCTTGGCTTTGACGCCGTGCTCTTGGCGGCGCTGGGCCTTGTGGTTGGCGACCTAGCTTGCTGTCTGCTTGATGGCCTGCTGCTGTTGCTGTTGCCTGCGTTTGCCAGCGCCTGCGCCTGGTCGGCCAGGGCCTCGATCTTAATACCGCGCCTGTCCAGACAATGACATTCAGAGCCGGGCGGACCGACATGCGCTTGTGAGTTGTGAAGCAAGTGTGAAGGCGTGACACAGAACAACACCCACATAGAAGCCTGCAATGCGGTGAGCTGTCGTTGTGCATGTGGACGGGGGGAAACCTGTGCACATGTGCAACAAGAAGAGTACGCAGAGGGGTTCGCACACACAACACACACACAACACACACAACACACACACAACACACACAACACACACACACACATACACACACACACACACACAGAGTTGGACGAACCCAGAGAAGCTTTTGCTGCGATTGCGCCGGGTCATCTTGGTCACACGTGCAAGCGCCGGTGCTTGAGCGGCGGCTGTGGGTGCCTCTTGGTTGACGGGCTTCGAGCGATGAGGAGGCACGCTGGTTGCTTCGGATGAGGACAAAGGTGCAACCGCCTTGGGCTGGTCTTGGTCGGCAGCACGGATGGTGCGCGTTGATGACGTGCTGCGGGCTGAGATGCGACTGACAACGCTCGCTGCGCTCTTTGAGCTGCGTGCCGACAACATGCTGCGAATTGACGCCGAGGAGCGGGCCGAGAGAACGCTCTTGCGTGACCCAGCAGACGCCCCGCTGGTGGCGCTGTGCCCGCCGCTGCTGGCCACCGAGCTTGTCATGCTGCCTTGCTCCGAGTCCGCAAGCAGGCTGCTCTCGCTGTCACGTCTTGACATTCGGCGCTCAGAGTGCGGGGGCGATGCATGCGCGCTCTTGGACGCAGAAGCGGCATTCGACTCAACGTCCTCGTCGTCGATGGCGGTCGGAGTGCGCGCACGGCTGCGCCCGCGCTCACCCATTGAGATTGGGTTGGCGCTCGCTGCCGACCCAAGGCTGGTCGTGGACGAGCGGCGGGACAGAGACGACGCTGTGCGTGGGCTCTTAGAGCGTGTACGTGACGCGGAGCGCGTTCGCGCTTTCGATGTGGATCTGGATCGGGAGCGCGAAGAGGACCTACGCACGGGCCGCTCGGCCTCCTCTGGCTCTTCCTTTTTCTGTTGGTTATGGCAGGGACGCAAGTTGACATGAAGTATGGTTGAGATGAAGCGCAAAAGAGCAATGGATGGGCTTTGGAAAGCAGGACAAGCGTGAGGGGAGTCGCATCTGCAAGACACACGCACACGCACACGAACA